AATCTTTTTGGAGCGACTGCTAAAAACTCGCCCTCCCTAAATTTATAGATAAATCCTATAGATCCATGCTTGGATTTGTTCTGAGTTAATAAAAATGAACAATACTTGGTGTCAGTTACACATTTTTTCTTTCTTGCCTTGAAACCTGAAGACTATAACCACTCGACTGTATCCCATTTGCGTATGAACACAGTTTCAGTTTTTTTCTATCTTATAATTGCTTTGCTATTGTCTTATAGCTGCTTTGCTTTGCCTTGTATTACACCAGTGGTTGTCAACCATTTTTTACCCATAGATCCCCTTTTCCCTTTTTTTTTATTTTCTTGGTGGACTCCTTAATAGCTATTTGACATAAGACAATATTCTATTTTTCACTAATAAAAATTTTGAGGTTTTAACAATCAAAGAAATATTATATAATTAAGCTTCATTTTTAAATGAAAACTAATTTAATGCAAATAAATTATTCTACAGTTATAATAATAATAATAGTAATAATAATTTTTATTAACCAATATCTTGTATTACAATATTACAATGTTTCTTCCATGGTCAAGGCCATGGGAAGCAGAGCTCTTCAGGAAATTGAATTCACTGCAGTATTTATTTATGTACACTGGTTAAAAATTTTAATAAACCAATTTAAGTTATGTGCGGGATTAGAATAAAACAAGAAAGGTATATTTATTTAATGAGATTCATGTGGTTGATGTTGCTCAGCGGGTTTCTTTATATCTGGTTCCATCGATGTTAATGATAGTCGAAGATCGTTTCTTTTCACAATGTCAAGTCTATTGTGAACTTTTGATAACAGTTGAGAAACACGACTAAATCCCGATTCAACAAGATGTTGAAAATGCAATAACATAGAGCTGTGCTTTATTTTAATAATAAAAACCATTCTGAAGTGGCTTTCTTCATGGACCACCAAAATATCATTGTGGACACCCAATTTGTTATATTTTGCCTGTGGACCCCCAGAAATATTACATAGACTCCCTAGGGCCCATGTGGACCCCGGTTGAGAACCCCTATATTAAACTATTTATTTCTTGTATTATTTTGATCTGTTCTTATTTTATTTATTATTGTTCTTGGGAATTTTGTCAATTAAGAATCCCTGCTTATTCAACATAAGGAAACATGCTAATCTAAGTCTATAATTTTTAGCAACATTTGGTTATGATTTTTTTTTAAAGAACTCCTTAACCCATTGTAGCGTTATTTACAGAGTTAGATTAAGGTCAATTAAATCTATAAGCACAACCTAAAAATGGTGAGCCCCGACCTTGGTAACAACAGAGTTAATGATTTTAATTTACATGGACGCACAAGTAGTGTAATGGTTATCAGCATTGAAAATGGATTTGACAAAATGAGTTCAAATTCCAGCCTAGTCTGTTATGTTGATTTTAGTTGTAATGTCCTTTGGAAAGTCCTGAATGCACCTCTTCTCCCCCCCAGCTATGGGTTAATTAGTAGGACTTGTATCAGTAAAATCATTATTATCTCCCAAAAATATTTTCTAGCTTTAAATAATCTTCAAAAAGGTTGATAAGCTGTAAAAAAACAAAAACAAATCAATCATTTAATTGTTACTGAACTTGCCTCTTCATTGAAATTCTTTAAATTTTAAAGTGTTTCTTGTTTTCTGTTGTAAACAGTATTCTTAATATTGACACAAACAAAACAATCTAGGGGTGGCATATCAGAAAACTTTGCTCCCCAAATCTGGGATCTGGCTCTCCCAAGACATCTATTTGGTAATTATCTCTCGCGTCAAAAGAAATGACAACATGTGAGGAATGTGGAAATGCACCATCCATTCTGAAGAAAGATCATTGTTTGAAATGCTCTTCTGTAAAGTTACAGGAAAAAAATGGTCCATAACGTTCAATAATTTTTACTTATGTTTCCATCAAAATAGTAGTTATATTATTTATAACATATAAATATATTATTTAAAATTTGGTCTATTTTAAGGAAAGAATATATATATATATATATATATATATATATATATATATATATATATATATATATATATATATATATAAAGACATTTTTATGTTTAACATTCTTTTTATAGATACAAATATTAAAGTAAATGCTCTGTTTATAATAAACAGCATTAAACAACATTTACTAGCCTGAATGCCCGAGAAATTTTCACAAAAAATATTCGTCCTCCGACAGGATTCGAATCTGTATCCTATACGGAACCGTCATTTAGCTTGACGTGCCTTTACCAGTTTGGCCACGAAGGAGTGTTCGGTTAGCAAGGTCGAATTTACTGTATTTAAACTTCAATCTTCCATAAATCTCTCATGTACATTCATGTCTGTTCATGGCGTATCAAATATAAACAAATGACGTCACACACACACACACACACACGTGTGTAGGTATGTAGAAAAATAGGAAAGAACATGTTAGGTAAGTAGTCCAGGGTTCTTTAGTATTTTTGTTTTTATTTTAAAAAAACAGTGCCGCATACAGA